GTTTTTGTTCTTCATCACAGCAAATACAACACTGATGCAGTCAACTCCCGCCTGGAGCTTGGCTGGTGGTTGTTGAAGATTCCTCACGGAATGGATAGCTTCTCACTTCCAGTTGGTCACATGTAGAGAGAACGGGTGGTATGTCCAGTAGGTCACCCCCCGTCATAGAGAACGGGTGGTGTGTCCAGTAGGTCATCCCCGTCATAGACAACGGGTGGTGTGTCCAGTAGGTCATCCCCGTCATAGACAACGGGTGGTGTGTCCAGTTGGTCACCCGTCATAGAACGGGTGGTGTGTCCAGTTGGTCACCCGTCAGAAAGTACGGATGGTAGTTGCTCTGACGGGTGGCCATTTACTGCCTGTCAGAGAAAACGGGTGGTAAATGGCTCCCCATCAGAGAAAACGGATGGTAATTGGCCACTCATCGGAGAAAACGGGTTGCGTGCCGCAATAAATACATGGGTGACTCAAGTTCGGTATTTGGAGGGCGGTTCGTCAAGTCTACAAGCAGAGCTTGAGGAACCGCCCCTTCGTTGTATTCAGTGACTAGTTTCAGGAATACAAAAATACTTGGCTCTATGTATGGAAATTACCCTACAATTTGTAATAGTTATCCTTGGTTAAATCGTCATTAAATTCCGTTGCATGCCTATGCAGTTCACGTGCAAGATGCAACAATATTGTGGCAAATGTAAAATAGACATGTTAACGATTTCAAGCAAAGTGAACGTATATCACTGTAGGTGTCCAGGAAAAGTTGTTCATTCTATGGGTATTTTTCCTTCTGTATAGTTATCTTCACTCGAGGTCACTTAGCTAAGCAGTCATGGGGGAAAATATCTTTTAACTTTTCATCGACGATACGAGTCAACGCTGTAGGTTGGAACCGAGGAACTCCGACAAGAAAGACGAAAGCGAATGTACCTGGCCAAATGGCCGGGTACATTCGTGTCTGTCTCGCGTCTTGCACTGAATAGCCCACATGGGTTTAGTGCTTAACATGAATTTATAATTACAAATTATAATCTTGATTCTCCTCGAAGTGAACGTCTTAAAGCAACTTTGAAGACCAAAGTATCAAAGCCTCTCTCAAGGGATAACCCGACATAGGTGACCCAGAGCCTCTTAGTCATACTTTCACACACACAACAGAAAACCTTATGGCACGAAATAATTCAATTAGAAGATTGGAAGACTTGAGGGCTTCATTTACTGTATGGCCCATTATGTGACTATAATAGTTTTTTTAACCACCGCCCACAGGATGGGTATGGATTAAATAATAAAACTACCAATAACAAACATCTACACAAAATAACAATAGTAAATTATATATATATATATATATATTATATATAATATATATATATATATATATATATATATATATATAATATATATATAAAATCTTCGCTACACATTTCCATCACCAGTGTGAGTAAAATATTGAGAGAACACGAACATACATACGCTTGTTGGCACCTCTGCAATGATTTCAACTCTGTTCTTAAAAATAAAATGATTCATTAATAATCGAAGCTTCTGTAAACTGCAGTCATTGGTGTATAATGCTCTATAATTCAACTCTCTGGATCTATTAATCTACACTGTATTCTCTTTTTGTTATATTAGCCAGCCAAACAATAGTTATCAAAAAATATAAAATATAATGATAGAGTGTTGTACACTGAGAAACCTTGCTTACATCTGCTGAAAGTGCATGTATACACTCGGAGTGAAAGAAAATTATGTATATGAATTCATCGTAAAATAAAATGTATACATGTACTTTAAGAAAGGAGGTAAAATTGGTTTTATATAGGTGAATGACAAACTGATCACAGTTGTGATGCGCTAACATTCACAGCACTTGCGAAAGCGGTGCTGGTTGGTGCTGAATTTACAAGTTCAGCTTATCGATGTTCAACACCCGTCCACTGAAGAGTTCAACTGGTTGATGTTATATTCTCTTCACTTAGGTCATCCAACATGGTCACCACCACAACAAACACTTCCCTGGTACAAGACGCTGTTTACTGACAACAGTCTTGATCGTTGCAAATGAAAAGAGGGAAGAAGAGCAAGTACTTTCCCCAAAAACCTATGAAACTGACTGTATATTGTCTTTTATACTGTAATACTCGGCCAGTATCCTTCTCGTCGTGGGCGTCGGCAGAGCCTGACAAGGGCCAGGACGTAAACATGGACACCTTGTGACTATTGAACTTCATATCTAATTTTTATGGTGGCTCCTATGTTCAGTGTGCAGCCATTCACACCGGACACGGTTATCCTTTTAGTTTAACTTGATAATTTTGATAAATTCTTACATATATGAAAATTAATCCATTTCAGTATATCGTGTAACACGTCCTGCCCTGCCTGTCCATCTACGACCGCCTCACTACACCTGATATCCTAACGTTTATCCAACTTCAGCTGAATCAGCCATCCACTCGACCCCACCTGAGTCCGACTAGCAAGCCAACGGTATCACTGCTGTGACCAGTCCTAGGGACCACTCAATACCACACTCACGCGTTCGTCAGTAGACACCACCTTCTACAGCAGCTGGTGCTTTGTGCTGAGTCTGCAGTAGTACTAATACATAACACGTATGTACGTGCCAACACTGCTTACAGCAGCGTGTCTGAGAATTTTTCCTGATGTATGCAGTAACATCAGGATTTTAAACTAACCTCAAAGCGTAGCTGCAACAACATTAACCATTTTTCATTTAATCTGGCGAAGACAAGAATTTAAAGACAACCTACGACTTCCTCTGCTTTTTCGAAAACAAGAAACTCGACATAAAGCAGATGTAAACAAAACTTTAGCAACACGATCACAGAAAGTAAAAAATAGTTACTTTATATGCCACCAGCGTTTAGTGTCAGTTCATTGTTCTTCAACGCTTACTTGTGGCATTACTGCATATTAAGAACAAACCTACCTGGTAACATCAGGGCAAGATTCAAGTCTCGTAGGCCACTAAAACAGGCCTATAGATAATC